CTCCAACTAAGCTTTTTTTTTTTTGCGTGTGTGGTCTCTCGAAACGACCTCCATCCCGGGCCCCGAGAAGTCAGGTCCTGCGCTCATCATCGACGATGACGTTGCAGGGCCGTTTTCGTGATCGATGGCACCCCTAGGTGTGCCCGCCCGCGCACTGCTCGCGCGGTGCCGTGGTGCAGGGCGCTCGTTGATCCGGGACGGACGGGATCTCGATGGACAAGGTCGCACCCGCCCTTTGGGCAAGGTGACATTGGAAGGGACAGGGATCGGAGAAGGGGAGAAAGGGGGCGGAGAGAAACAGCGAGGAGACAGTCTGGCGCATTGTGTGTTGTGCCAACTCAGGCCAGCCGAGTCCGCGCTGCGTCTTTGGGATGCGATGTGCAACTATGTTCCCCCCCCCCCTCCCCTCCTTTGGTCGCGAGTCACCATCTGCTTCTGCTTGTGCTTCAGTCTCTGCTTCGAGAGGAACGCTCCGTATTGAATGCGTCTCTGCTTTAATGAATGCTCCGTATTGGACTGCGTCTCTGCTTCAATGAACGCGCCGTATTGAATGCGCGTCGTCGATCGCGCACGCTCCCCCTTTCATCCACTCACTCGTCGATGGCCTCGACATCGGCCCCCGGGTTCGGCATCTGCGTCGAGCTGATCCAGTTCTCCATGATGGCCTGACCAGCGGGCGCAGCAGCCCCTGACGCAGCCGACGCAGCGGACCGCCCCGAGGATGCCGGGGCCCTGTGTGTGTCGCGCCTCTTAACCACGAGGCACAGCACGCGTCCGTGGATGGCAAAGCCCTCAAACGAGACGTCCATGGCCATCTTCTTCTTGTCATCGCCGTCATCGCCCTCATGGTCGTGACCGCCACGTGAGCCGCCCACCGCCTTCTCGGCACCCTCGGGCGGGCTCTGCTCCTGCTTTTTCCGGCGCTTCGAGGGCGGTGACGTCTCGGGCTCTTCGGGATGGTCGTCTACGAAGAGACCGTCGTCGTCGTTGTCGTCGTTATCGTCGTCGTGTTCGCTCTCGTTGGCATTTTCGTCGGCTCGTTCACCGCCAGGCTCGTCATCCGATGTCGACGCAAACTCGTCGTCGTCAGGGGACGCCCGTGGGGAGAATACACGGCGTCGCTTGGCGGGTCGCGCAGGCGGTGGTCCGTCGTCTTGCCGCGTGGGTATCTCGGCCAGCGCAGCCACGGCGTCTTCGTCGTCCGACTCTTCGCGAATGGTGATGGTGCCCTGCTGCTGCTGCTGCTGCTGCTGCTGCTGCCGCCGGCCCAGGAAGGCGTCGACGTCGACGGGCGCGGCATTCGTCTCGGCAATGAGGCGGCCCTGCACGGCGGAGTCTCGACGCGCGGGGTCCCCGGCGTTCTTGTCACGAAAGCGGCGCTGCTTCGCGAGCAGGGCGTGGCGCGTCGGCGTCTCGGTCAGGAAGACGGAGACCTCGAAGCCGTCGCCGGCGGCGACGTCTTTGATCTGGCGCCTCTTGGCCGTCTTCTTGCGGGCGCGGGCGCGGGCCTGCTCCTCGCGCAGCTTGGGCAGCACGAGGGGCCGCACGGCGTCCATGACGCGCGGCAGCACGGGGTCGCGCGGGTGCAGCAGCCAGGAGGCGGCGAGGGCCGGGTTGTCGAGGTAGATGCGGCACTCGAGGACCGAGTATTTGGTGATGCGGAGGTAGCGGCGGACGGGGGCCATGGCGGGGAGCTTTCTGTGCGTGTGCCTTCGCTCGGTGCCCTCGCTTTGGTGCCCTCGCTTTGGTGTGATCGTGAGGAGTTTTTCGCTGCTTCGGTGCTTTGGCTGCTTCGGTGCTTTGGCTGCTTCGGTGATGCTGTCGAGATGGGATGTGAA